AATTCTTTTTTTCTTACTAAGTTGTCGAAATCGTTGGTATGTTAGTTATAGCATTTGAAGGCCAGTAGAAGAGATGACACCGCCACCGGCGTGGAGATCTCTTTCTTCAATGTAATTATAATAAATATTGCGGTTAGATTAGGTAAAATGAGCCTTGGATGGCCAGCAGGAATTGATTTTAATGTTTCCAACACACACATACTTCATTGTCGTTTATGTTTATTAAGCAATCATGATGACTTATTTGTTTTAAGATTTGTTGAATAATGAAAACTCAATTTGGCAATGCTTCACCCAAATCAGTGCGAATTAACGGTGTGCAATGTGCTATTTGCACATGGTTTTGGCTAAAATGAAAACAATGCACACCTTTTTTTCAAACGATATGCAAAAAAAATCTTTATTGATTACTACCACATAAATAGAAAGTTTTCAAGATTAGTCTTTATTGATCTTTTACTGATCGATTAAAGTTTTGAGAGAACTTTTAATTTCAAGCAAAATTCATGTTATGGACTCTTTTAACTTATTGAAATGTTGTTCAAGTACTTGAATTTTGCAGTCATGTGTATATTAGCAGTTTTGGTGATTGTTATTGTCTGTTTTATCCATAATCATTGCACATGATTTTTTTATAATTTTCAAATACTTCTAGCTCGCAGCTACAGTGCTGAAGCTGCCCCAGAAAAAATTGATGTCTTCATAGATGAGCAAAAGGTTTTGGTGGATCCTGGGACAACCATTCTCCAGGTACAGATTTATCAATTTTTTCCACAATTTTTTCCAAAATTCTTTCTCCACACGAATGATGAAAAATTTCTTCTTGCTTGTTTTCATAGTATAATGACAAGTTAAAAATTGCAGAGATAATAATTGTCAAGACTCATAGCTATAATTTTTAAGACAGTTATGATACATAATATTTTTTCCAAACCAAAACTGACAATGACCTTGAACGTTATTTCACAATCTTAATTGATGGTGCTTGAAATACATTAGGCCTGCAGACATACGATGCAAATTACTGTTTTGATACTTTAACGCCGTCATTCAATCTGAAACGCACTGATGCCAAGGAAATAATCGATCCATTGGAAAAATACTGCTAACAAAAGAGCCTTTGTCAATATTTTGCATTTAAAATGACTCACGTCAAAGTTTCAGGCAAAGTCTTCAGTAAACGGCGAATCTCTACCATCTAGAATGGCTACACAAAACACCATTACACCAATTTTGAGTAAGTTGAGTTGGACTACAATTTCAATGTTAGATATGACTTTAGCAAATTTGAGTTGTGATTTTGTTTATTGTTTTAGGCCAGTGTCAAGACTGCAAAATGTCATTAATTTGCCCACCTAGCTGTGGACATAAAGTCCACCTTTCTGAGGTGGAGGAAAGGCTATTGAAATGCTTGCCTTTTCAATGTCCTATTTCCTTGTAAGTCAAACAATTAATATGCTTGCTTAATGTTGTAGTCGTTCTTTTATGTAATGTCCATGGCTTTATACTCTAGTTGTTTTGACGAAGAAGTCGACAGATTTCTCGAAGATTTTTTTGAGTATGTATTTATATAATTCTTTATCTTTTGAACATTGATACGGTAGAACAGTCAGTAAGAATGATTTCTTTTTATTTCAGAGTGGTCGTTGATAGTTTTTTTAATTAAAAATGTTTTATTTCAATAAAATTTACTTACGAATATCAACGTCTCATGTTCTAATTTGTTCTTTTTTTCTGTCAAAAATATTTTTCTCCAATCATTGCAAGTGGACTTGATAAGTTCTAGCCCATTTACTAACGGAGTCATGTCTTTAAATGAAGATATGATCTTCGCACTTTGCTGGACAATTTAAGCAATCGTCTCAGGACCTGAAAAAATCAGGTGACTCAACGGATTCGAACCCATGACCTCTGCGGTGCCGGTGCAGTGCTCTGACCAACTGAGCTATGAAGTCACACAGTGGTGAGCAGGTCAATATTGTTGGGCTCATGTTTTCTCGTTGAGTCACCTGATTTTTTCAGGTCCTGAGACGATTGCTTAAATTGTCCAGCAAAGTGCGAAGATCATATCTTCATTTAATTTCAAACACCGCACTGCATAAAACATTCATACGACATTCCTTTCACGAGAAAACATGAGCCCAACAATATTGACCTGCTCACCACTGTGTGACTTCATAGCTCAGTTGGTCAGAGCACTGCACCGGCACCGCAGAGGTCATGGGTTCGAATCCCGTTGAGTCACCTGATTTTTTCAGGTCCTGAGACGATTGCTTAAATTGTCCAGCAAAGTGCGAAGATCATATCTTCATTTAATTTCAAACACCGCACTGCATAAAACATTCATAGGAGTCATGTTTTGTAAACTATCAAAGAAGGATTTCATGACTTCTTCCTCATCAATTTCTGATACTGCATCATCAAAGTATATCGATACCCTTTCATCATTCGGCATCATCAAACAATCGTGTCGCCTTTGTGAGGGATGATCAACGCGACAACCGTCACAGTCTTTTGCCACAAGTTCGTATATTTTAAAACCAATTTCAGTAGCATAGCACTTTAACAATTTATTCTGTATATTGCTTTGGCGTTCATCTAAAACATGTCTCTCATCTTCAAATTCGAAGGACGATTCCTTCACTTTCTTTGCTTGCTCAATGTCTGCTTTTAAAGCCATTTTCGTTTTAGTTACACAAAAATTACCAAATAACTTTAACTCAATAAAATTGTAACGTGTTCTTCTTTTTCATATTTGCAAAGGAAACAAGAAAACGGATCTAATAATACTTTAAGAATAGAAAACAATTGACAATTTTAATTAAGTTTTATCGTGTTTCAATTAATCATGTCATCCAGTAGCAACCTTCGTTCATTTTATGTCGTTTCCGGTTTACACGCGCGCGCCCTGTTTACTTCCTAGGACTGGAAATTAATTGACAAGGGTAAGAGCTCCGTTTACTTCCGGGACCATACCTGCACCATAACTACTATCGCCCGGCTTGTATATTTCAATTCCATCGGATCAGTGCTGTAGAACTAAATTTATCAAAGGGAGGGGCTCTCTTGACGAAGCTGAAGCCATGAAATTATGAAAAACTACCCATTTCAAAGATAGAAGGGGGCTCCTCCCCCAAGCGCCTCCCAGTTCTATAGCACTGTTTCGGATATTACTTTTCACATCCCCATAGCTTCATCACACACACCACTAGAACAAGGTATCTACTTTTAGCAGTGTTCATATTTGTATACAGAATCATCTTTAAAACGGTGAACTTCAAGCTCATTCGCCAAAGAAAATCTACTTAAACTTACGCCAGCAATTATAATTGCTTTGTTTACATTAATTTAACTTTCCCGCTTTCCAAATTTTTATTGGCTCTCACATCATTTCTTTGTTTGAGCAACCAATCAAGAGCACATTTTTCGAAAATAAATTGCGCCGGTGTTTCCAGGTCTTTCGCTTTTTTTGCACTGGTATTTATAAATTGCACTGCTCTCAACCAGTCAGAATTGAGAAATTTTTTCATGTATGATATTGTTAAAATTAAAAACATCTTCATAATGTCATTAGTTGTGAACTCTCAAAGTTTTGAGCTTTGACCCATTGGTTTTAAACTCTGTTGTGGTTATCCTATAACAATTAAGAATTACCCGAGCTCTGAATCTGACGACTTTATTCGAGAAGATCAGGGGTTGGTATTGTCAGAAGAATGGAACTTTCAGGCGTTATGAGAGCACGATTTAAAAAAGTTATTTGGTTTGCAAAAAAATATGTCAACAAAGAAGACAAATTCAAACTCAAATTTATGGTTTTTAAATTTTGTTACATGGACAAACAACTTAAGTCATAATTAAACCTTATACATTGTTATTTTAAATATTATGTTATGTTTTACAGACAAACTCAATAATATGTCTGGAATGCTTTGTTTATTAGACATCAGGCCAATCCGACATATTTTTTCAAAACTAGCTTTAGATGAATAACTGCCCATACGGTTGTAGATCTACTCATTTTCCTATTAGAAGTGCCCATTTGGAAAACGAGAGGCCTTAGTATGACCCGGCCATGTTTAGTTTGATGAATGCTAGATTTGCCGCCAAGTCAAAGTAGTTAATCGTTTCAGTCAAATGCCACTTCTTTTTTTTTTGACATAGGATTTATGCATGTCTCAATTAATCTTTCCATTTCTTCATCTGTAGTTCTTTGATGTTGAATTCACAACCCTATTGCCTAGAATAGAGATTATTTAATGAAGAAGGATGACAGACTCGACGATGAACGAATTTGACGATTGGTGTTCCCTTCATCTTATGTAAAATATGAGTGTTTTCTGGCGTTAAACGAGGCTTTCTCCTAACATTATGCAGCAAAGAAAGTAACGTCTTCAATAATAAAAATGCAAGATTATGAATTATTTTCAATGCTTTTTTCGTTAAACTTACTTTTTGTCCCGTACATTTTATCTTCAGTTTGATCAAATAATTACATGTGCAGAATACATGACATGCATTCAACATGTATGTAAGACAATGAAAAAAAATTGCATAAGGCTTCTTCAGGATATTTTAGAAGCCAAGTCGGTTTTAATGTCGATAATCGATACGTATGTTTTACAGTCAAAATATATCAAAGTAAAGTTTCTCCTGCATATTTAATCTCCAATTTTGTTGTAAAGTGAGATAGAGCTGCCTCTCTTTCATAAAAATGACGTTCCCCATTGGCATTGACAGTATACAACGTTTTTCAGTACTCAATATGCACTTCCTTAGAGAAAGAAATTTTAGCTTAATACATTATACGATTTATAACTCTTTAATTACGTCCACGGGATTCGTCCTAAGTGTCTTCTAGTAGCTTTTGTGATTTCTTAAACTCAAAGAATCTCTGGCATCCGAGAGTCATTTATGTTTTTGTCATATCTTGAGTCATACTTTACTAATGGAAAGTACGTCACGTCTGTCCTTCGGAAAGGAAGGGCCTTCCCATACCCTTGCCGGCATTCATGATATGAGGAGTGAGCAAAATCGAGACTCGAGAGTATGTACATAACGTATCGAATCTAACTATTCTAGCAAAGAAAATCAGATTTCCATCTCGTTCACGTTTTGCCTGCTACGTTAAACGTCTTCTTATTCGTACTGGGTTACATCTTGTGATTTAGCCATGGCCAGTTCGCGGCGGGAACAGTGAAGAGTTATTGATTCTCTTGTCATACTTTGAAGGTGCACTGAATTGAGTGAATTTGATGTGCGCCAATGCCGACTCTCATTTAAAGCTTTTAATGACGAGCTTATGAGTTTAAATGGCTCTCTGTTATCGGTGACACGAAACTGAGCTAAATTTAGGGATATTCGCTTAAAATTCACTGTGAAATCTTTCGTACGAAGTTTGCGAAACACTCAGACATGAACCCTACAGAGCGTCTGAAAACTTTGGAAAAAATCTTCACCGAAGGTATTCAAGACACTGCATTGAGCACGGAGACTTTGCTCGATGTATTTCTCGTCTTGTACGACGAATGCTCCAGTTCGTCTTTGAAAAGGGACAAAAACATTTCGGAGTTCGTCGAGAAAGGTTTGTGAAAATTTTTTGACATTTCCCCGGCCCGGCTTGTTTGTATCGAATATTCCTATCTCACCATTAAACATGTTTTATTCTTTTTCCTTAAAGTTAAACCTATTGCGAAGCGTGTAAAAGAACTTAGATTGTCTCGCGATGATTTCGAAATGCTTAATCTCATCGGGAAAGGGGCATTTGGCGAAGTAAGCTCGAAAATATATGGACAACAAAGACAGTTCTCAAATTTGGCGTGACGTTCCATGCAATTATTATCGATATTCTCTCTTTTTGTAGGTCGCCGTTGTCAAAATGAAAAGTACAGACCAAGTATATGCCTTGAAAACGCTCAACAAATGGGAAATGTTAAAAAGAGCCGAGGTTCGTCCGAAAATTTATTTCCTATTTATTCATTAAGGAAGCATCTGACAAAAGCCTCGATTCTTTATTGTGACATCTGTCGCTTATATGTGACCTTTACAAGTTGATCATTATTCTCCGAACGTTGGTTTTGTGTATGTTATTTTTTCACCACGCGGCTTGTATGATTTACGGTTATTTGGTAATTGCGCATTTTGTATGTGGCTTAACCATGTCACAAGATATATTGCCCATTTTGTTCTTAACTTCCTCCTAACTGAAGGCCCTGGAATTTTTTAATTGCTCCCTGTGAATTTTCTAGCAACTATTCTCAATAAGCAGCGTGGAACCTATTATCTGCACCTGGCATTTTCTATAAAAAGAATTAAATATGTTAAAGAATTCCTCATCCCCACATAGTTTTAGTAACTACCGTCCAATTCCCATTTGAGGAGTTTCCCAAACTGATATGAAAAATGTTTTAATCTTTTAACTGTGACATTCTCCTTAGACAGTTGCATTGTTCCTCGAAAAATATTTGGATGTTTTAAGGAACCTGACCTCTTCAAGTTGAGATGAAATCTTGATTATTTTTTTTGTATTGTCATTTTAGACTGCCTGCTACAAGGAGGAGAGGGATGTGCTTGTTAATGGGGATCACAGATGGATCACAAACCTACATTATGCATTTCAAGATGATAGCTTTCTGGTATGTCAATGGATCATTAACTATGTTTATTTGTTATATGATATTTATGTCTAATCAAGTGTGAAAATGGTGATCTGTACTATGAACACCTCTTTAATAACAGTCATTTAAAAACATGGGTGCTGATCACTGATCTCGAAAAAGACTGGATCAAGCAACTCTATATTAGTAGTAAACAAGTTTTGAAGCCACCGCTGCCGTTAGTAAGGGACAAACACATCGAAAGATTTTTAAATAAAACTATGGAAAGCATGGCAACACATGGCCAAATTATGCTTTAAGATAATGCAGAAGATGAAAAACAACCTTTATGGCAATAGTAAAGCAAGTCGGAAAGAATAATCGGCAGTATGAAACAAAACGCATATAGGTCTCACTTGTAATTTTAAAGGATTGATCAGGTTATGATCGGAAATGAGATTATTTAATCAGTTTGTACTTCTGAACTACAATTCCAACAATTTTAGGTTATTCCATGCAGTTGTGGGCTATTTTCCATAGTTTTCAATGCCACATATTCAATACCACAGTAGAGTTAATGACAACAAAAATCGTTGCATTTTATCATATTTCATCACATTTCATTGTATTTTTAGCTCTTCTATAAACTTATTTATCTCTTAGTTATGTTCATGTTGTTACATGTTGAAAATTCTTGATTATTCTTGTATAAATCCACAATATATTTGCTCCTTATTTTCGAAAGTTGGTACCTTAGTAATGGTGGTGCTCCTTATTTTTTGCTTCAACTTTTGTGCTTGATGCTTGATCCAGTCTTATATCGAGATCAGTGGTGCTGATTGGTTGTATGCTCAAAAATTTGTGTTCCACACATAACTCTAGAAACATGGAAATTTCCCTTGTAAATTTAAGATTTGAGTTATATAACAGCAAGAGATAAGTTTTAAATCAATATTTGACGTTATTTCAAAGTCATTACCTAATAAAGTCAAAATATTGCTTTAAATCTCGTCTCTTGCTGTTATAACTCGAATCTTGAGTTTACAAGATAATGTTTTTTGGGGGGTGTTTTATCATATATTTTTTGAAATTGTCGACTGGAAAAGGATTGTGGTTGAAATGCTTGTCTATGTTTAGTACTTTGTGATGGATTACTACAGTGGAGGTGATCTACTGACATTACTCAGCAAGTTTGAAGATCACCTCCCTGAAGAAATGGCAAAATTTTATCTTGCCGAAATGATTCTGGCCATCAACTCCTTACATGAAATGGAATATGTCCATAGGCAAGTATTTATGTACCACCTTATACATATATGTCCATAGGCAAGTATTATGTACCACCTTATACATATATGTCCACAGACAAGTATTATGTACCACATTATACAAATATGTCCATAGACAAGTATTATGTACCACGTTATTCCTACATATATGTCCATAGACAAGTATTATGTACCACATTATGCATATATCTCCATAGGCAAGTACTTATGTACCATCTTATACATATATGACCATAGGAGTTCTTATGTACCACCTTATACATATATGACTATAGGAATTCTTATACATCACCTTATACATATATGTCCACAGTGTGCGAATTAGTTCAGAAAAAACGATGTGCAATTTTTTTGACAAAAGTGTTTCTTTATATGCATAATCAAATCGATATTACGTTAATTATTATATAGCGCTAATTGCTAAATTAATATTTTCAAACGTGAACAAATTTATATGATTTACGACAGTGTTTTTGTTAAAACTGCTGATTTTTGCACATCGTTTGAAAAAGTGATGTGCAATTGTTTTCATTTTAGCTAAAACGATGTGCAAATTGCACATTGCACACCGTTAATTCGCACACTGTATGTCCATAGGCAAGTATTATGTACAACATTATACAAATATGTCCATAGACAAGTATTACTACCACGTTATACTTACATATATGTCCATGGTCAATTGTTATGTACCACCTTTCACATGTATTAACAATTTCCTTGTAAACATTTTGATTATGTCAGTGAAATACAACTTTATTTCATTTTAGGGATGTCAAACCCGATAATGTTCTATTGGATGTCAGTGGTCATGTGAGACTTGCTGATTTTGGTTCATGTTTGAAATTAAGTAAAGATGGAACTGTAAGGAATTTCTTATGTTTGCTATGTGAGTTGTTTTGGTCTGTTCATATTTATCCTTTTTTGTTCCTTACCACTATCAGGTCCAGTCAGCTGTTGCAGTTGGCACTCCTGATTATATATCTCCAGAAATACTACAGGTAAGAATGTTAAAATAAATGGTTTGAACCCTTGAATATTGTTACATGTTTGTATATAGATGTAGACTGTCCAGGTTAATAGGGTCCAGAAAAGGACTGTTGGTGTTGATGTTGACTTACGTTTTGACAACCTTAAGGGTAGTCTCTCACCATTGACTCTGAAGATGACTTCTGATAAGGTTGTCAAAACGTCAGTCAACATCAACACCAACTGTCCTTCTCTGATAAGAATGTTACTGTTATGATCAAAGTAGTCAGAAGGACAATGAAATTCTGAAAGGGTGTACTCCAGAAATTATGAGTACCAATTAAGCAGTAACATAATGTTTTCTGCAATGTTGTTTTCATAAAGTGCTCTGTTTAGATTGTTTTTGCCTCATCCATCAAGACATAAATATTTATTTTGTGTGTTGGCCAATTTTGCCATGATGTATGAGGATTTCTCCAACAGTATTGCAGTGAGACAATAATATGTGGTGCTGTCATATGCACTTAGAAATTTATCTTGAGAATCAGTAGTCTCAAAGAAATCATTTCACATTATTCGTGCAAGTTATGCGTATTAAGGATTGGTAAAAAACTGATCTTGATTGAGCCAATCTGCAGTTCACCAGTCATCTTGGGTGCTATTTCGAGACTTGGAATTATCACAATTTTACATTTGCTCTTCATTAGGCTATGGAGGATGGAAAAGGAAAGTATGGAAAGGAGTGTGACTGGTGGTCTTTGGGGATCTGTATGTATGAAATGTTTTTTGGCGAGACACCATTTTATGCAGAGTCCTTGGTGGAAACATATGGCAAAATAATGAATCACAAGGTGTGTGTGTGTGTGTAGACTCTTTTTTCTCACTGTTTAATTAATTCTCATCCATCCATGCTTAATTGCTCAACATCTTGTAGACTTTCTACGATTGGCCCTCTCATGTTGAAGTTTCTGCCGATGCTAAAGATTTGATTCAAAGGTATGATTAAGGAGTGCTGGATAGATGACACAGTGCATGGTTTACTCAAGTACTGTATCATGGCTGTTCAGATTGATCTGTCGAGCAGCACGAAGACTAGGCCAGAATGGGATTGCTGACTTTAAAGAACATCCATTTTTCAAAGGCATTGATTGGGATAATATTTCTGAAAGTGAGTGTTATATTTCTACCTGCAAACTATTGTTTCACTTTAGATTTACTTGCATTACATTGCTTCACAGGTGAACCACCATATTTTCCTGAAGTCAGTGGTGCAACAGATACATCAAATTTTGATGTTGAAATTGATGGAAAAGGAAATGTAAGTAATGAATATTGTATGTGAGGTGTGGTATGCTCTCTCTGATGAATATGGGAATGTGCGAGGTTTATCATCAAGTCTCAAACCTCTTCTGATGAATGGGAATGTGTGAGGTGTATCATCAAGTCTCATTCTCTTCTGATGAAGGGGAATGTGTGACGTGTATCATTAGGTCTCATTCTTGTCTGATGAATGGGAATGTGTGAGTTTTATCATCAAGTCTCATTCTCTTTTGATGATTGGGAATGTGTGAGTTGTATCATCAAGTCTCATTCTCTTCTCATGAATGGGAATGTGTGAGTTGTATCATGAAGTCGCATTCTCTTCTCATGAATGGGAATGTTTGATGTGTATCAGGTGATATCCTAGATGATACTCTGGGATACTCCAGGTGAAGAGTATCTCGTTTGAAGTAATTATAATTGTCATTTTAGACTTGTACTCAACCAAAATCCCTGTCCTCTTTCACTGGACATCATCTACCATTTGTAGGATTCACATTCACGAAGAACAGGTATTACAATTGGTTTGCTTTCTCCTAACCTTTCAAATTTCTTTTTTTCTATGTAGCCCTTATTCAGTTGGTTCTAAAACTAAAAATACAAGATTTTTGAGTCAATGCATGAGTAACGGAGAAACCAAGACATTGAAACTACTCCATAAAGTTTAACAAATTTTTTTTGAAAGTATAAAACTTTTTTGCGCTACATTCGCACAATGCTAGAGACATTCCTTAATTGGTTGTGAATAGTAAAGTTTATGTTGGCCAATGGCCTTGGTTCCTACTATCGTACCATACTGTAGAGAATTGACGTATTTAGTTAATGTACGTAGGTGAATTTAGTGATCACGTGATAAATGCATGAATGCACGTGCTAGATGCTAGAATTCACGTGCTAAATTTATGACGAGATTTTTGACCATCGTTTTTTGAGTAGAATGTGTTTAAGTCTTTAGTTTGTTTTTTTTTCTAGTATCAACAAGAAAAGGACTACTTCATTTTTGTTTATTTCGTATTTTTTTCTTTACGATTTGTCGGGTTTTACTTTTCTCGTAACGACGTACAGCCACTTCATGTCATATCAGCTTGCTTTTTTTATATTTTTATAGCATGTTGTCAGATTTGGCTCTGAAAATAGAAAAACCACGTTTCAGACTCGACAACTACTCCTCAGAACTCCTCCAAGGAAGGCAAGTTTGACTAAATTTTCTGACTTAAATACGTACCAACGATTGTTTTTAGGGTTTTTTCTATAACTTTTCTGAAGTATTGTAATCGTCAACATTGAGCATTATGTACCTTAATGTTCTCATGACAATTAGTGAAGGTCCTCGCTTATCGTATATCGCTCCTAAAGTAGCATTATGTACCTGTGAGTTCTCAGTTCAATCAGTGAAGTTCCTCACATATCGTGTATTACTTGTAGAGTAGCATCATGTACCTATCAGCTCTCATGTGAATCAGTGAAGTTCATCTATATCCTATATTACTACTAGAGTAGCATTATGTACCTATCAGTTCTCATTTTCATCAGTTGTGTGCTCCTCATACATTCAATATTGCCTTTTAGTAAGCAGTGTTTCGGTAGAAGCGTTTGAGAGGCGCATCAAGAAATTGGAACGCGAGAAATCAGAACTGAGCTGGAAACTTCAAGAGTCAACGAAAGTCTTACAAGAGCAGTCAATCGGTAATAAATCTGGAGGCGGTGGAAGCAAATCCCAATCGGGGAATCTAACTGAGGAACTGTCACTTTTGAAAAGAAGAAATGACGGTAAGAGTTGGGTTTCCAAGTTGGATTATTTACTCACCATTTTTGTCTCTTCTCAGAGTACGGTTCTAGAGCTCGTAGCGAATGTTCGAGCTACGAAACTGTTCAAATAGTATTATGGTGTCATTTGGACGTGTATTTCGATTTTATTCTTACTAAGTTTTCGATGGGTTCTAGAAATCGAAGCGAAATTAAAAGTTAAGGAGAAAGAACTTGCCGACTTATCTAACGAAAAGAAGTCGGCAGAAAGTTCCTCAGAAGGTGCTGTATATACGTAGAGAGGGTAATCCCCGTTGTATCTTTCTATCCCTCGTAACCCTTTGGACTCTTTTGTCTCTAGACGTGAAATGGAAACTGAGATCTGCCGAAAAAGAGAAGAAAACATTAAAAGAGGAAAAAGAACTTTTGGAAAAGGTATAAGTATTAATTAGTGACAGATCCTATCACGATGTCAAGTTCTTTAAGATAAAGTCATTTAACGCACAAACTGAAATCTTACTTTCAAGCGTGCAGTGAAGTTTTAACGCACAGCGAAACCATTTTATAGGAAATTGCGGAGTCGAAGGAACGAAATACAACTTTATCAAAAGAATTGAAAGAAGCTCAGAACCAACGTAAAATGGCGATGGCCGAGTTTAGCGAACTCAACGATAAATTAGCCGACATGATATCGCTGAAAACAAAACTAAGCCGGACACAACGCGAGAAAGAAGAGGAATTAGGTAGAAAGGGCTTAATGCGTTCTACATAACTGGATGATGACGTTGTTGCTACATTTGTGATTGTAAAAATAATTGTGTTCAATTTCAGAGAGTGCGTTGGAAAAGGTTGAAAATATGAAAACCGAAATGAGAAATGTCGATAAAAAGAAGCGAGAAGTGAGTTTTTATTTGTTATTCCAGATCTCCCGTATATCTTATTTTTTATTTTTTGAGCCTGCAATTTGTATCTTGGCATGACCATTCAACATCGTGAGATTAGAAGATCATGTAGGTACTATGACGGTACCGTATGATCGAACACGATTTTGTATGATCGTTTGTCATCTCATATTATGAAAACATTAGTGACCAAAAGATAGTTTTCCGAAAGGTTTGATTATATGACATTTATTGAAGGAAACAAGTGACGTTTCGTCTAGTTATAGATGCGTATTGTGTTGCAAGGAAGTGTATACAAAATAATGCTTAAGATATTCACATTGTTAGAACTTTATTTGAATATCATTTTTAATGTACTTACTTGTAACGCAATATCTGTAATTTGTTTGAAGAGGTCTCGTGTCTTTCGTTAATAAAAATTATAATGATCAAACCGCTTATGGCTTTTTTGAACACTATCTCTTGGGCTCTAATTTTTATTTTGGGAAATCGATTCTCGCTGGCAACAATATTATTTTGATGACACTGTAAACATGATTTGATGAAAATTTAGCTGAATAGTCAAATCGACGAACTTACGGCCGAAGTGAGTAAAGAAAAAAAACTGAGATCTAGAAGTGAACAGTACTCGAAGCAACTCGAAGAAGAGATTGATATTCTTAAGGTATTCATATTCTTGGGAATTTTTGTCGTGGGGTTTTTTCTTTTTACGTAAGAATATATCTGTTTTAGATACGGCAGCGAAACCTTGGCAAATTGACGAGTTTTGATACGACAACTGATCAATTACAAGAAGAAATTACCAAGTACGCATTTAAGAATGTCACCGTGTGGTCCATTTTGAATTTTGCTTTAAGTCAATTTTCATTGGTCTTGTAGTCTACTTTCTTTGGTCTTGTTGTTCCTTTGTTAAGTTCTGTAGTCCACTTTCTTTGGTCTTGTTGTTCCTTTGTTAAGTTCTGTAGTCCACTTTCTTTGGTCTTGTTGTTCCTTTGTTAAGTTCTGTAGTCTACTTTCTTTGGTCTTGTTGTTCACTTTGTTAAGTTCTGTAGTCTACTTTCTTTGGTCTTGTTGTTCACTTTGTTAAGTTCTGTAGTCTACTTTCTTTGGTCTTGTTGTTCACTTTGTTAAGTTCTGTAGTCTACTTTCTTTGGTCTTGTTGTTCACTTTGTTAAGTTCTGTAGTCTACTTTCTTTGGTCTTGTTGTTCCTTTGTTAAGTTCTGTAGTCTACTTTCTTTGGTCTTGTTGTTCCTTTGTTAAGTTCTGTAGTCTACTTTCTTTGGTCTTGTTGTTCCTTTGTTAAGTTCTGTAGTCCACTTTCTTTGGTCTTGTTGTTCCTTTGTTAAGTTCTGTAGTCTACTTTCTTTGGTCTTGTTATTCACTTTGTTAAGTTCTGTAGTCTACTTTCTTTGGTCTTGTTGTTCACTTTGTTAAGTTCTGTAGTCTACTTTCTTTGGTCTTGTTGTTCACTTTGTTAAGTTCTGTAGTCTACTTTCTTTGGTCTTGTTGTTCACTTTGTTAAGTTCTGTAGTCTACTTTCTTTGGTCTTGTTGTTCCTTTGTTAAGTTCTGTAGTCTACTTTCTTTGGTCTTGTTGTTCCTTTGTTAAGTTCTGTAGTCTACTTTCTTTGGTCTTGTTGTTCCTTTGTTAAGTTCTGTAGTCCACTTTCTTTGGTCTTGTTGTTCCTTTGTTAAGTTCTGTAGTCTACTTTCTTTGGTCTTGTTGTTCACTTTGTTAAGTTCTGTAGTCTACTTTCTTTGGTCTTGTTGTTCACTTTGTTAAGTTCTGTAGTCTACTTTCTTTGGTCTTGTTGTTCACTTTGTTAAGTTCTGTAGTCTACTTTCTTTGGTCTTGTTGTTCACTTTGTTAAGTTCTGTAGTCTACTTTCTTTGGTCTTGTTGTTCACTTTGTTAAGTTCTGTAGTCTACTTTCTTTGGTCTTGTTGTTCCTTTGTTAAGTTCTGTAGTCTACTTTCTTTGGTCTTGTTGTTCCTTTGTTAAGTTCTGTAGTCTACTTTCTTTGGTCTTGTTGTTCCTTTGTTAAGTTCTGTAGTCCACTTTCTTTGGTCTTGTTGTTCCTTTGTTAAGTTCTGTAGTCTACTTTCTTTGGTCTTGTTGTTCACTTTGTTAAGTTCTGTAGTCTACTTTCTTTGGTCTTGTTGTTCACTTTGTTAAGTTCTGTAGTCTACTTTCTTTGGTCTTGTTGTTCACTTTGTTAAGTTCTGTAGTCTACTTTCTTTGGTCTTGTTGTTCCTTTGTTAAGTTCTGTAGTCTACTCTCTTTGGTCTTGTTGTTCACTTTGTTAAGTTCTGTAGTCTACTTTCTTTGGTCTTGTTGTTCCTTTGTTAAGTTCTGTAGTCTACTTTCTTTGGTCTTGTTGTTCACTTTGTTAAGTTCTGTAGTCTACTTTCTTTGGTCTTGTTGTTCCTTTGTTAAGTTCTGTAGTCCACTTTCTTTGGTCTTGTTGTTCCTTTGTTAAGTTCTGTAGTCTACTTTCTTTGGTCTTGTTGTTCACTATCTTTGGTCTTGTGGTCCATTTTCTTTTGTCTTATGGCCCATTTTATTTGCAACTGTTCCTTGTCATTTTCCTTTATTTTACCAATGGCCGCGATTACAAGTTATTATATTATCAGTAATATATCATACAAATTACTTGACACCCAAACCCGTCGTATTTGTTTCATCTGTAATTCCAACTCGTTCCTAGTAACTCAGTTTAGTGATTTTCCGCTGTGATTCTAGATATTAAACATCGCTTATCCTATGTATTTTATTTTAGACTGAAGGCTTCTTTGGAGAAAGCAAAGATTGATCATGAAGATATTTTGTCTCAACAAAAGAAAGAACAGCTAGCAGAAGTGAAGGTACTTAATTATTTTGTATCTTCAGTTAATTGTTATGTATCAACGCAACCAGGATATTTTTATGAAACGACAGCCCTGCAGTTACATAGTGTTTACTTTTTATTTGTTGATTCAGATTCAAATAGTGACGTTTATGAATAGCGAACAACTTTGAAAGGCAAAAACTTTTTAGATTAAATATTGAGGTCAACGCTTCAATCTCGCGCTAATGCTTCGCGCGAGATTATAAATAGCTATTTTCATGGTACTCTATAATGGCGGCATATTACGTTGTTTGTTAAGCAATAAGACAAGTCTATTTCTCCTACCAAACCTGATCCATCAACGCAAAAGCGTTGTTGGCCGGGATATAAATAAAAAATAACGAGGATTAAGTTGAAGAGAAACGTTTTTTCATATTTGCTGGTCAGTGAGAAAATAATCGTTAAACTCTGTATCGGATATCAGAAGTTCAACACCAAAAGTAAACACAAGCGCGCAAAGCATTGCCGTGAGATTATTATACGAATTCGGATTATCCGGATTCAATTATACGAATATGGATCAACGTAACGGATATGGATTATGCGTTTTGAATATTGATAACTTGATTGGCTGTTTCATTACTTTTGTTGTTATTTCATGTAACATTTACTGTCTTTCTCTTAGGAGCTCAAAGAGAAATTACATGATCAGGAAATAGCCTCGCAGAGTCTCAAGAGTCAGGTGAGCGCATATATGCTTCTGGAGCCTAATAGATCATTTCTATTTACGTTATTTTCTCATGGAAAATGTTACACAAATAATTATTCGGAAAACTGATTTTGACTTCATGCAATTTACTCAAAATGCGACGAAAAGGCTTTCAAAATGTCGTCCTTTATATGGTCCTTGTAACATTAGCATTAACTTTCGTTGGTTGAGTTTAAGACTTCAGATAAGTTTCTGTTGTTCTTGCAGGTTACTGTGTTGACTGGCAAAGTAAGCCAAGCAAAGAAAGACAGGTATTTACTGAACGTTTTCAAATACAGAATAGGAAAATCTTGATTGCCCTTGTTTCTCAAAGTACGTGTCTCTCATACTGAAAGAACTTGTGTGTCAACATTGCGCTTAAATCACGTTTGGTATTCGCGACATTACGGTCATTTAGATGGCCTAGAAAATTCGCGACATGACGGTCATTTAGATGGCCTAGAAAATGGCGGATGTTGTAATGAATGATGCTGAAAAATTCATTATAAAGTCAAGGCAAATGTTTGTGAATACAGTAAAATAGCGTTTCTAGGTAATTTGAAAAGTTCCGCTTTAAATAGGCTTGCGGAAAGGCAATTTTTTGTGGATTATAATAATGTAAACATGAAAAAAAGGGCGCGGTGCATCTTGATTGACGCACATTCTTTAAAACACGATGTGTTAGCAATGAAAATTTAATGAAAGAATGTTTTGAGAGTGAAATAACTGGCATTTATTGGCTTAGTATAATACTTTGCCGATTTTATATTTTGTTGGTCTGGTATAAAAGTAGCCGAAAAAATTTACAAGAAAAGATAGACATTAGCACGACTACACCTATAAACTGCCATCATCAAAATTCATCTTGAATTCATTCCTCCAATGCAGCGCAACAGATAATTAATTTCCGGTTATTTATCCCCGCAGCTTCAGTGATCAGCAAGATGTCATCAGTGACATGCAGAGACGATTTGAACGGGACCGAAGCATTTTAGAGGAAGAAAACAGAAAGTTGCAGAGTGAAGTTGAAAAGGTTTTCATGATGTTTTTTTACCTGTTATACCCAATGATTTAGAACCCAATCCTCTAGATGTCTCACTAACCTGCCAAGGTGAGGCAAGGACTCCATCTTGAAAGGTGGCAGAAAGTAAAACTCAAAATGAAAAAAAAGCTAAAAGAAGTTTTAAAAACCCATCCTATCAAGCAATTTAGAAATTAAACCTAGACTATCAACTTTGCAACTGTATATCAACTCAGGAAAAGTAAATATTGATCATAAATATCGTCAGTTTTGCCACCTTTCAAGATGGCGGCTTGCCTCACTTGTAACCATAGAATTCTGACGGAGTCAGATGTCTAGTAGATTGGGTTCTAGGTCATTGATTGTACCACTACTGTATCTCTGCGTACACGTGCAATGTTTTAGAACAGCGGTATCTCTGTGTACACTTCATGTCGCACCGTATGACGTGTAGTAATGTGTCTTTTTTAGCTGACCGAACGACTTAACAAATCAATCGCATCTCAACGTCGTAATGACGAAGAATTGAAAGACATGAGGGAGAAAAATGATCAAGTTGCTCACTGGGAAAGTCAGATAGGCGAGATCATTCAATGGTGAGTGGTGAAGTTTATACGATGAAGATAAGTGCTTCTTGCGTACGTGATACGTATGTAGAATGGTGAAGTTTTTACGATGAAGATAAGTGCTTCTTGTGTACGTGATACGTATGTAGAGTGGTGAAGTTTTTACGATGAAGATAAGTGCTTCTTGCGTACGTGATACGTATGTAGAATGGTGAAGTTTTTACGATGAAGATAAGTGCTTCTTGCTTACGTGATACGTATGTAGAATGGTGAAGTTTTTACGATGAAGATAAGTGCTTCTTGCGTACGTGATACGTATGTAGAATGGTGAAGTTTTTACGATGAAGATAAGTGCTTCTTGCGTACGTGATACGTATGTAGAATGGTGAAGTTTTTACGGTGAAGATAAGTGCTTCTTGCGTACGTGATACGTATGTAGAATGGTGAAGTTTTTACGATGAAGATAAGTGCTTCTTGCGTACGTGATACGTATGTAGAATGGTGAAGTTTTTACGATGAAGATAAGTGCTTCTTGCGTACGTGATACGTATGTAGAGTGGTTTTACGTCTTGAATAAAAATGCCAAATTAACAGCTGATCTTTTTGGGAAAATGTCTATGAAAAATATTTTTGAAATGCTCTGTCATGTTCGGTCTAAACCTACCTAAGACACACGGTTTGCGCACAGCCTGGAAAGACTGGAATTCGCTTGCCTCAGATTTTTGCGGGAATTAGCAGTCCAGTTATGTTCAGTTGAATTCTCCATGTATATATTTCAATGCTAGCGATCTTTGCCTTCAGGGTGAGCGATGAAAAAGAGGCTCGAGGATATCTTCAGGCTTTAGCAACGAAAATGACCGAAGAACTGGAAGCACTTAAACCTTCAGCTTCCGGTTATGGTACTCTTGGAAAGGTGAGCCATGGTTAATTGAAAATAATGTGTCACGTCACCCCTCATATCACATTGTATCCTTTAATGTATATTGATTTCTTTCGTTATGTACAGAATGACAAAGATTGGCAAGCAAGGAGATCGCACAAGATGAATAAACAAGAGCTTTTGGCCTTGCAGGCCACATTAAACAAGGAACTCGAGGTTAGTCGTTTGTATTACATGAAGTTTGCAGAGCTCATGGTCACAATGATCCAACTTCTTTCTTTTCTCAGGCCAAACAAAATCTTGCTGATGAGTTAAACCGCGTCAAAGCCAATAGTGCGGTGACTGAGAAGTACGTGAACATTTTTTACTATTTTTTCAATGTCACATTGAATTTAAAGTGCATATTACCGGAAAATTGTGCCGTTTAGATTATTATTTCTTTTAACAATGCTTTGAAAATGACAGTGTATCTTTTAAAACAGTTTGTTTGTAGCATTTTTCGTTCTCAGCATATCGTAGTTTATGTAATGTACGCTTTCCACATCTTGTAACGTCACATTGCATAATGTAAATTTGAAAGAGCGGGTACATTTGCTGACATTTTGCTTCAACTGATCAGAGTCCTCTTCATTGTGAAGATTTAATAGTATAATAAATTTCCTTGTCACCCCAGCAAAAATGATTTAAGTGATTAAAAATGATTCAAAGACGAAGATAAATATCAAGATATAGCAAGAATAATAATGTGGTCATGCTTCTGCAAGAAATGCAACAACTAGATATCCTTCGCGGGTTATTCATTTCATCAATTTCCATGCATTTGAAAAAGCTCATCATTTGACGATTTTCATTTTTTCAAGCCATTACAAGTTTTCTTTGACGTTTAAATGTGGTAAATTGGTTTAACCATTGCATAACCGCGAACCTATGTATTTAAAAACGACTTCACTCTAGTGTTCGTGATCATTGCCATTTTGAACACACGTATTCAAATATATCGGAGAAAAACTTTCATTTTTAAAGATTACGCGCAGACTAAAGTATAATGAAACTAATTCTTCACCGTTAAGTAAACAAGTGAATGGTTTGAATCCGGGAGTATCGTTAACAACACCAACACCAACAGTCTTTCTCAGGACTCTGCTAACCTGGACGATCTACATATACAAACGTCTAACATTACGTAATCTATTGATGCCTTTTTTTAATATGTACTTTCAATAAGGGAGCTACTTTTTTGCCACGTCACTGTGTAAGGAGTTTATCTCCTGTAGTGAAGTCTATCGAAATACATCGTTTACTAAGGGCATCTATGATTTATTTTTTGCACAGTTCTTTTAAGAACTCCACCGTTACTATTGTCCGCTTTTGTTACGAGAAATGTCAACCTTCCTTATTTCAGTAATCTGATATAACACTGGGATTTCAAATAGTTTTTTTTTGTATGATTAAACACAGAAAGCTGAGCGAGAGCGATGCGCAAAACGCTTCTCTGAAAGAGGAAGTACATCAACTAAGAAACGAAATGGAGAAATTAAAAGCTCAAGGATTTCGTAACGACTTTGGTATGATGTCATTATTGTCTTCTTCTATTTGCTTTTTAATGTCTTACGAGACTTCAGCTTCTGTCACTTAATAATCTTGTGGTAATATGGCTGACCGAGGTCAAAAGTTTTCAAGGTGTGAAAAATGTCAAACAAGGCATTAATTTGTCGTCTCGGCATTAATACGTATATTAAATGGATCGTGTATTCCTGACATGGGGAATGCTAAAACTTGAAGCCAAGTACTTAGATGCAGCTCCAAATTGAACACACCCTCACTCAAATGGGAAATTTGTTATCGAATGTTGTTGTACATTGCTAAATGTCTTTTTTTTCAGGTGGTAATTTCACTAGCCAAAATACTTTCACGGATAAGGCGGCGCCTGTCTCTGCAATACCCTCCGAACAAGGTATGTCGGTTAACACTACCTCGTAGTCAGGGCTTTTGGTTTGGGGACTGGACACTCTTTTTACTCCTGGTTCGTGCAACAGAGAGATTATGATTGGTAAAAATTCGATGAATTTGGTCAGTTTTTCTCAGTTTAAACTCGTGCTCATAGTTGCTTAAGTTAGGTGGATTTTTCTCGAGTTTTGTTTTTTAATGTTTTTTGATCTTTTGAATTCAAAATTATTTTAGAAAATAAAATGATGAATATTTTCTTTAATTACGAAATTATTTTCAAATGATCGAATGATGCATCACTAAATTTTATGAAACTTGCTTCGTTGATGGTCAATCATAATCTGTCCATTTCTTCACTCACCGCTAACAATTTGCTGTGTATTTCAGCAAATCGTCCAACGCTTGACATTGATCCAATACGAGGAACTGGTAAGGCTTACGAAGGTCACGTGAGAATACCGAAGCCCGGCGGCATAAAACGAGGATGGCTCAGACAGTTTGCAGTTGTCCGTGATTTTAAACTGTTTTTATATGATACCGCTGATCGCCAGACGTTGCCGTCTCCTAGTCTCGTCCTCGATCTCAGGTAAAATACAATTCTTATGTTTCATGGTAAAGACGTTAACCCTGCTGATTCTTCAAGCTTAATGGTGACGTCTATGTCACGTGTTATCTTTTCTGTAGGGACGAAGATTTTTCCGTGTGTACTGTTCTTCCCGCTGACGTCATCCACGCGACCAAGAAGGAGATCCCGTGTATATTCAAAGTAAGCTTTTAAAGTAGGGATACTTGGAGTACAATAAAGTACAATATTGTACAAGGAAACCATAACCCCAAATACAAAGAGTCTTGGTTTCTTGATAGTCCGACCCCCCCTCCCGAGACAATTCTCACCAAACTATGCTTGTCATTCAATTATACATTGACAGATGACCCTTCTGGAACGATCCTCACGCGATTGTTAATCTATAATACATTAGCAGACGCCCCCGAAGCAACCTTCTTTCAATTATGTTTGTCGTGTATTGTTAAAACACCCTCCTGGTTTCAAATCTCAACAATTTATTATGTCATTAGGTGACATGCTGTCAGACGTCCCCCCCTGGAAGGATGTTTACACAACTAGTCTTGACAGAAAGTGAACAGGAGAAAATCAAGTGGGTTAACGCGCTGAAGCATTTACGAGAAATTTTGATTGCAAATCACGATACCTCAAAGACGGTAAGAACTTTGAAAACGAGTCTCGCGGTAGTGCTTTGCGCGCTTAGCCAGCGATCAATGGCTATTTTGGGGCATCCCTAAACGACAGCATATACAGGTTGTTGTGTCTACCTTTTCTATCAATATCAAAGCGCGGTGGGGCCAAGAAATAAGGAGAGCTCACTTAAAGAAAGACGTTATTTCACATTTGGTCAGTTGGAGTGCAATCCCAAACTCGGTGTCAAATATCGGAACGTTAATACCGGAAGTAAACATAAGCGCGCAAAGCTTTACCTTGAGACTCGTTCTTTGTTGAAATGCCAATGAACAAGAATTACCAGAAGAATGAATAACGTTGCTTTTGAAATAGCGTTTTCTGGTCTATGATGTTGAAACTAATGATTTCATTTGTGCGCCACCTGAAAACATTCCAAGGTTAACTCATCACAAAGTTATCATAAATCAATGATTAAGTCAATCCAATGTTTAAGAAACTCCTAGACGTTTAAGTCAATCCAATGTTTAAGAAACTCCTAGACGTGTTTCGTGAGTGTGAAATGTTTAGACTCTAAGTGGCCGTGTTACGTGCAAAGCTAACTGGCAACATTGTTTAAAATTATTTTCTACAGTATGCAATTTAAGTTCATCCCATACTATTTTCTAGTACTTTCAGAGTAGAATTTTTGACTAATTGAATGTGAATGAGTAAAAGTAAAGACTAAAGCAGTTATATACATTGCACTACGACAATAGATCGCGCACGGCTTTCTGGATTTTTTTTCTGCTGCCTGACGTGTTTTCAAAACGAAATCTGATGTATTTTTTGTATAGCAAACTTTCCACCAACTGATTGGCTGATGTATTTTTATAGCAAATCTTCCAATCAAGAGATTAGTTGTTATATTTTTTTAAAACAAATCTTCCAGGCAACTGATTGGTTAATGTATTTTTGTATAGCAAATCTTCCAATCAACAGATAGGTTGTTATATTGTTGTATAGCAAATTTTCCATGCAACTGGCTGGTTGATGTATTTTGTATAGCAAATCTTCCACACAACAGATTAGTTGTTATAATTTTTAAAACAAATTTTCCAGGCAACTGATTGGTTGATGTATTTTTGTATAGCAAATCTTCCAAGCAAGGGAAGTGTGTGATGCATCATTACATATTTTGAAAATGGCCTTGTGTGCAACTATTATCGGTTTGTACAAGCTATTTTTTCCAGTTCACATTCATGCTTCCGATAATAAATGATTTTTTGCATTGTTTTATTCATAGACACCGATAAGATTGTGGTCGGTACAGAAGAGGGTCTGTTTTTGCTGGAGTTGATGAAAGAATGTACGTTTGCATTTTATTGTGTTGATTATAGTTTCTTGTTGTTATACATAAGCTATTTTTCATTGGTTGACGTACTTCGAAACCTGCTTTCATGAAATGGCTATATTTTTCAATTAAATATAAAGAATATTTCTCTTCTTTTCGACAGCTTGTATTCGCATTGGGGATGCTAAAGAAAGAAAGTAATCAAGGTAGAACTGATTCCAGAAGAAGAGCTACTGGTTGTTTTATACAGTAAGTGTTGATTGTATTGTATTGTAAATGATTGAAACTAATGGTTGCGTTGTCCACCTAGTTTATCGATTAGTGATTGCATTGTCCAATAAATTTATTGATGTAAATGATCGAAACAATTGTTAATTGTCCAATAAGTTATTGATTTAAAACCAGTGATTGCGTTTTGTAATGAGTTTATTGATGTTAGTAATCGAACATAGTGATTGCATTGTCCAATAATTTGATCCATGTAAATGATGTAAACCAGTGATTACATTGTCCAATGAATCCATGTAAATGATGGAAACTAGTGATTGCATTGTCCAGCACGTTTATCGATGTAAACGATTGAAACTTGTGATGGCGTTTGTCTTGTAAGTTTATCGATGGATACTAAAGATTATGTTTTCGAGTAAGTTTATCTCGATTTTGTTATTTTATAATTTTGGAAAGTTTTAAACTTTACATTTGGTGATTTGAATCATCGATTACTTTGTAGCAAGTTCTACAAATATGTTGGTTTATTTCGTAGAGCTGTATTCTTGCTTTTCATTGAAATACAAATTGTTGTAGTGTATTATGTCCAAAGTTTCATTATATTGACATCGTCCGTGTGGCGTGACAACTTGAAATAATCATACGTACCGGTTTAAGTGCCCCTGTCAGCAAAAACTTATTGTCATCGTCAGTGTGGCGTGACGACTTGAAATAATCATAGGTACCGGTTTAAGTGCCCCTATCAGCAAAAACTTATTTGCAATATCAAATCGAGGTATAATGTCTAACTTATCGGCGAAAAATTTTTTAATTTGGTCAGATCATCTTCTTGCTTAAGGCGGTTTAAAGTTGCCTCACAACGGACCTTGTTCGTTGTAGCGCGAAGCCTGGGTCTAGCCAAATTTTGACGTCATCCTAGGTAGTTTGTGTACATATTTTGTATTGAGGAACCCCTTGACGTCACAAAAGTAGTTGTTCCAGCCTTTTCGGCGGATGACGGACAACTTCCATTAAAAGGAGATATTATGCCAACTTTGAAAGCCATAAAAACGATTTGACAAACTTAAAAACTTTTTTCATTTTACGTTAGAAATCGCACCTAAATTTAGTATCGCCAATATAAAAATTTGCTGAAAGAGGGCACTTCAAGGAATGAAAACACTTTCCAAGTTTCTATAGAGTTTAGAAACACGCGGGAAAGTCATGCGTGGCAAGACGAGCGCGAAGTGCGTATGTTTCCAAGCAATTTCGAGTTCTTTTTATTAAAAAATTTTTTTTATGCAATATAACCTTAAAACCTGCTTTCATGAAATGGCTATGTATTTTGATTTATGTATTTAAGATAATTTTCGTCCTTTTGATTTCCATCTGGGATGCTAATGAAAAGAGTTAAAGAAACATGGATTTTTCGAGCATTCCATCATTCAGCGTCCATGTTTTTTGAAAGTGTGTTTATTGTTCGATGTTTCACGAATGTCGTTTCCTTCATTTCCAGGTAAAAATCGTCAACTACGATTGTATCCATTGTCGATACTCGAAGGTCACGAAACTGCTCCCATCAAGATTGTAGAAGCAAAAAGTACGGAGTCGTAGTATAAACCAAATTGTTTGTCATTCGCTTGACTTTATTTCACGAAATGTTTGCATCACTGTCGTTTTCTCATTGCAGACTGCTCAATGTTCGCAACCGGTTATATGCTTGATGCAAGAACTAGTTGTCTTTGTGTGTCGATGAGACGTCAGATTTTCATCTACGAGCTCAATAAAACGCAGATCCGACATAGAAAGATTCAGGTGATGATCACAATAACTTAAAGTAATTAAGTAAATGAGTATTTTGATTGGTCCGAGACCTACAAAGCACGGATAATGACGTCATGCACGTGTTTGTATTTTGATTGGCCGAGACTTACAAAGCAAGATTGATGTCATTCACATTTGATTTTTCATCAAATTGAAGTATTTTTATTTGTCGAGACTTACCAAGCACGGTTGACGTCATGCACATGTTATTTTGTCATCAATTCGGAGTATTTTGATTGGTCGAGACTTACGGAGCACGATTGACGTCATGCGTATGTGATTTTTTATCAAATCGGAGTATTTTGATTGGTCGAGTTCTACGAAACAAGGATGACGTCATGCGTGTGTGATTTTTTATGAATTTCGTTTAAAACATTAGTAATTGAAAAGAATGTGAACCCAAACTTGTTTTGCCGAGTGAAGAATCTTGGGGAGTATTTTGCATTTATGTAATGGTCAAGTAAACTGACGAAGAGGCTACTTTCTGTTGTATTACATTTTTGGCTCAAATTTAGAAAGTGTCTTGTGATTTCATGCACTGTTCTATCCAAACCTGTCCGCTTTGTGACTTATGTTTAGTTTTAATGCCCCACCTCGGCATGACGTCATGTAAATGTATAATTAAACAATTTATGTCTAAAAAACACCATAATTTGCAAACTGCTACCGTTGAATGTTCTCGTCATGTTGGTGTTAGTTAAACCCCCATGATTTGAAAGCCATGTCTAAGTACCGTCAGTACCGTGTTGAGGTGAAATGTCATCCTGAAGAGTGGTAAAAAGTGGGAAATAAGTGGTCAAAAATAAGTTAAAAGAAAGCGTAAAGAACAATCCTATCAAATATTTTGAATACCAAATCTAGACTATCAACTCTGTTATTTACTGTCAACGTAGCAGATAGTAGTCGTAAATATCGTCAATTTTCGACGCTTTTTAGTAAGGCGTGTTGCCTCCCTCGTAATTATAGAATTTCAACAGAATCGGGTATCTATAGTAGATTGGGTTCTAGGTCATTTTTTCACCCTAATATCGTACAAGTTTAACAACATGGTAATCAACATGTAGAGCTTCGATATAAACATACTCAATTTCAATGGCGAATCAAACTCGATAATTGTTGGGGATGCACATACTCATATTATGCATGTTATGCAAGTTCCTTGAAATTCATTATTTTACACGTAAGACATGCATGTATGAATCCCGCCCTCCACGCACATAATTAACGAGTTTCCAACGCCATCTCCTAGTTTTCTTTTAACTGTCATTGCTTGCATATGGTATTGTTATCATTGTTTCTGCTATCTGACTTATCAATGCTATTTTAACGTAGACTCTCACATCGCCTGTCAACTGTCAGTGGCTTGGCTTGCACGCCGGTAGACTTTTTGTCGGCTACACCTCCGGTTTTGATGTCATCAATTTGAATGGTGGCGAAACGCTGAGTAAGTTGTTCACTGTCACCGACATCTTTTACGCTCGTTCATTTTTGGACTCCGGGATTACTTGTTCATTTTATGCACACCTGTTGTTTAATACTTGCTCATTTTATGCACACCTGTTGTTTAATAAACATTTTTTAAACAGAATTAGTGAACACCGATGATTCACGGCTGTCGTCTGTTTTCTCCAGTCAAATGGAAGCGCTACTTGCGGTCGAGATTTCAACGAACAAAGAATTTTTACTTTGTTTTCGTGGTAAGTATATTCTTTTTCCTATCACGATTGTTCCTCTTGGACCATTGTATGATATCTACTAATCAATAATGCATGAACTTGTATAAGGCTAAGTTGCATTAAATGATTATAGTGAATATACAGTAGAGCCACTCGATTGAATTTTTTTGTACCACGCATTTCTTATTACGCATGTGATCAGCATAGTGGCAGCCACTAAGTTGTATTTTCTGAGGAATATGAGCGCTAAATATACATCAGTAATTTGTACAGTGAAGTGAGACTGCTGTTTGTTTTTGTGCTGTATATGCTAATAGTAAACTTCGGCCGATCAGACCAACGAGGTTGTACGCAGGGAGAGTGCTATTGCGACTTATGTCGGGAAGACTAAGCCACTGCAATTTAATGACACCCAGCTAGCACCGCTATTTAACGTGTGCTATATATGTATTTAGCCGTGTGTCTAAATACACAGATTGTTCCTCTCAGAGCAGTGCAAAATGATCCAGTTGATTGGTTTTAACTACATTAGCTGGTCAAATACACTGCACGAGTTTTCAGTCATAAATTATTGGCGCGTTGTCTGGCTTCGTCTGCTTTTTTTAATCAATGCATTTTCAAACTCGTGACCTCAATTAACGTTGTCGACCCGGCTTCCCCTCGCTGTGCGTAAAAGCAGCGTAGGCAATACACAATCGTGGGCTTTACACAATCGTGGGCTTTACACAGTGGACAACTAGACAACAACTGATTATTTACACTATAGCCTGTGATAGGTTGTTTTTAAAGATATTTTTTGCTATGAAGTAAGTGGGTGTTCACTTCATGATACCATGCATCAAAATTAAATGGTGAAATGAAATGTAACATTAAATGAAACATTTTATGGCTAACTCCAAAGACCAGTCGAGAGACCGTATTTTTTTAATTGCATCGTCATGTGATCCCCAGTTTCGTGGTATGTTGGTGATAAATGTTGCTACTTGTGGTTACATGTCGACTGTACAAAGTTTTCTATTGTGAATATCTTTTAGAAATTGGGATATTTGTGGATAACGCGGGGCGGAAATCGAGAGATGAGGAACTAGTGTGGCCATCGCCACCAACATCCGTCGGTAAGAACATGTTTTTGATTCGTTGCTGTTGTCGATTTCGGGTCAACACCTTTTTTCGACCTATGAAATGAAAGAGCTTTATTCCATTTCAGCTTTCTGTGGTCCATATATCATTTCGTACAGCGAGCGTGGCATCGATATTTTTGAGGCCAACTCAGGAAAATGGATTCAAACGTTTCCCTTTAAAAAGGTTTGTTGTACGCAAGATCTTAAAGCAAGAATGGATATTGCAGGGTTGCGGGGGAGGTGGCTGTATGAAGTGTAGGTTTGGATACTGCTCGATTTTGTAATGGTGCGTGGTGTGAATGTGTATGCATCATGTAGTTTGCTTGATTTGCCCAAATTTTATTTCACTATGTCATCATATGGGAATTTTTATCTCTTTGTGTACACTCCACCAGTGCGACCAGACTTGATACCATATCTTCTCCGGTGAGCTTAGACAACTCCACCTGATTTTAAATAATTGCAACAATTCGAACAGGTGGAAACATTCTGCACGGATCAACGCATTTTCGATAATAAATTATTCATAAGTGTCCACACTGCACTCCACGTCTATCACCTCTCCCCACTTCCCAGTAAGCTCACCCTAAATTATTCATAAGTGTCCACACTGCACTCCACGTCTATCACCTCTCCCCACTTCGCAGTAAGCTCACCCTAAATTATTCATAAGTGTCCACACTGCACTCCACGTCTATCACCTCTCCCACTTCCCAGTAAGCTCACCCTAAATTATTCATAAGTGTCCACACTGCACTCCACGTCTATCACCTCTCTTCACTTCCCAGTAAGCTCACCCTAAATTATTCATAAGTGTCCACACTGCACTCCACGTCTATCACCTCTCTTCACTTCGCAGTAAGCTCATCCCAATGTTTTATTTATGCAGTGTCAGTCATTGGCCAGTGATGGAACTTTGTGTTTATGTTTCGCGAACGAATCTCCTAATTTGCTATTGTTGAAGGACAAAACGATGCAAGGTAATGCAATTACTCCATTGAACAATGTTCTCTCCGGTCGCGGAGAAGTTCTTAACTGCTAATATCCTTCAAAAATAGATGTATCAATTTAAACCGGAAAAGGATATTTATCTTTATCAAAACACAAAAAGGAATACTATATAAATACATCAATGTGAAACATTTAAATGTGTTGTTGTTTGACGGATAAACATTTAGAAAAACATAGTCGAGTTTGAAAAGTTCTCCACGACCAAAGTAGGCTGTCTTAAATATGAAAGCACACGTGGCTTGTTATTTGTCTTGTTTAATTTGAATGATGGGCGCGAATATGAGGTTTTGTTATTTTCACATTATTCAGAATACAAATCTGGGATATTTCAAATAGAACGAACAATACAATGGACTTTGTTTAAGTAGAGCATTTTTGTCTGTTCTTATGGAAGAATGAGACTTTTGGTCCAGTCGATGAAGCATTATGTAAATCCTTGCAGCCTCCTGTCACTTTGTTTTGTGAACAGGGCTTTTGCTGCTGTTGATAGTACATAGTGTAAATAATTTCTCCAGCCTCCTGTCACTCATTTTTCACCATGTTTTTGTGTATTTTGGTTATAGAAGAAAGACTTATCATTCCTGATCCAACCAAAGGGAAAAAGGCCATTGCTGCAGTCCTCAAAATGAGAAGCAAGAATAGGTTAGTCTCATTTTGATCATATGTTGACGTAATGTCAGGAGTCCCACGCCCCAGCCCACCCCCAGGGTAGATAATAATTGTACGTATGATTATGTCTACACATTATATTTACACATTTGAATATGTACGCCTCAGTAGCGTAGGTAGCCTGAATAATTGGTTGGGGGTGGGTGGAGGTGAAGAAAAAGCAATATTCATACATGCATGTGATTATCCACAAGAAACTGTTGATTTCAAAGGATCTTAATTCAGCAGAACATGCACATATGAATATTGATCAATAACCTGCCTTCCCACACACAGACAATACTTGAACGATGCTTTATAATGTATGACGTTTAAATGATCTTTTGATCTTTGTTTTTCTGTTAGTAGATTTTCGTTTAAGACGAGAGAAATGGGTTTCCAAGATCTCGACCAAGAAACAAAATCTAAATTAATTTCTCTTCCGACTGACTTTGTACACAAGACGCACATGGGACCTGGGGACGGTATTCCCATATTGAAAGATATGTCTTTGGTAAGCATACCGTACATAACTTTGACATATTGAGGCCTGAGGACTGTGTTCCCATATTGAAGGACATGTCTTTGGTAAGCATACAGTACATTACTTTGACATATTGAGGCCTGGGGAATGTATTCCCATATTGAAGGACATGTCTTTGGTAAGCATACAATACATTACTTTGACATATTGAGGCCTGGGAATGTATTCCCATATTGAAGGACTTGTCTTTGGTAAGAATACAGTACATTACTTGCCTTACGTCATGGATATGTTGAAGTATAGCGTTGCTTAGATTTCCTCGTTGTGCTCTGTTTTTCAAATAATGAGCGTTACTGAGTGCAACGGCAAAAATGTTTTAATGAAGCGAAGTGTAATCAGAAATGTATGCTATTCTGTAATCGATCATAGAGAAATGACCGGTAGTGAATTGTATAAAGTGAATGGTTTGAACCTGGAAGTATCGTTACATGTTTGTATACGTAGATCGTCCAGGTTATTGGAGTCGTGAAAAACTATTTTTGTTGCTGTTGAATGACTTTTTGAGAAACTCGACTCGGGAGATGACTACCGCTAAGGATGTTAAAATGGCCACCAACACCAACAGTTCTCACGACTCCACTAACCTGGACAAATTCCAATATCCATAAGCATATAGAGACGTGTCATATAGAGACGTGTATAATACTCTGTATACCACAGCAAAGTGTAAGTTATTCATAGTGAAGTTTGTTGCATCGCATAATCAGCAAAAGAGAAGTGTTTGCTTTTCTTTATCGAGATAGAGGTTTTGGCTCTCCTACAATAAAGTTGAGCGTGTTTTTTATTGTATTTTGTTTGTAGAATCCCCAAAGGGTAGACGAAGATGAAATAAACGGTAAGATCTGTCAAGTTTCTATTCTTGCTCGTTGAAATGCCTCTAATGCATGATTTTTTCTTGTCTTTCTTCTCAAATAAAGGAACTGTATCGGACTTTTGTTTAACATTTACTTTTGTGTGTTTACGTCTGGAAGCTTTTGATGTATTCATTTGTTGAAATGTTTATTTTCATTGCTATGCTACAAACCTGCCTTGGTTTTATGTAAAAGTCGTGAATGTTACTGAAATCAAACGCATGCATGATGATACATGTTTGTTCAATACGAATGAAAGTAAAGAAGTTGTAAATTAGGAGATGCTAGGTTGCTTCACCTTTTCAAATTCAAAGGTTGCATTACAAGTAACACGACCTTGCACGTCGTCCTTAATGGTAGTATTACAAACTATCCCGAATTTTGAGTTTAAAGTAATAAAAATTACCGCAAAGTGTTGCAAAAACGCAAAAACATTTAATTTACACCATCGTTGACAGTGTGTGAAGCACTGACTAAAACATTTCTGCAATCATAGTATTACAAAGTAAAATCATGGTAGTTTGGTTACTTAGTTACTGGTAAGAGTTACTCAACCTCACTTGTCTTTCGAGTGCATTTAATCACTAAGCAACGTCACTACCATGATTTCACTTGTAAATACCCTAATTCTCCTATTTACCCCACAGCCTGTTCTTATCCCCCTCACCCCCACCCCCCGCCACCGTGGCGTTACCATCCCACAAGTTTGGTCGTGCCATGTCAAATTCAGATCATCTGCATTAATCGTTTTTTTAGAAATGTATTGTTTTTACAGTGAGTGAACGCAGGAGTATTTACAAAGCAAGAGCAAAATTGCGGGCTACCCCCTCCCCCCTCACTCTCATTTAATAATCTTGCACTTGAAAATTAGCCACAAATAACCACCTAGGTTGCTTAATAGAGGAAATATTTCATCAATCAATACTTGTTTATTATGCTTCTTGTATTGAAGAATTTTCTACTCTTATAGATGGAAACATGGTGGGAAATTACTCGGTTGTCCCACGAAGTAAACGGCCAATTAGTGCCATTCCCCGACCGAAAAGCGTTGCTCCTGCGCCGCCTGTACATAATGGAAAATCATCTTACCGAGTCAGGTAGACTAATATGTTTCAAATTTTAGATTGTTTATGATTGTTCATGGTTACCTTGATATTTCATGATTGTTCATGGTTATCCCTTTATGATTTTTCATGATTGTTTATGGTTATCTTCTTGATTTTTCATGATTGTTCATGGTTGTTCATGGTTGTTCATGAATTTTGATTGTTATCGTCTTGATTGTTCATGGTTGTTCATGATTGTTCATGGTTATCTTCTTGATTTTTCATGATTGTTCATGGTCGTTCATGATTGTTGATGGTTATGTTCTTGATTTTTCATGATTGTTGATGGTTGTTCATGATTCTTCATGGTTATCTTCTTGATTTTTTTATTCCGTTCAGTAACGAGGATGTAAGCCGCTCGCCTTCATCGACCTCCAGTGAAGAAATTCGAAGTAATCGTTTATCTGGAGATTTAGAGAAATATTCTACCAAGGTAGAGGATTAAACCGCTGCAAGTACTGTTTAAATGTTGTACGAGATTAAATCATCGATATTTATATGTATGCAATGACGGTGTAGTAGTTTCCAGGGCTTCAAAAATCGTATCAACACATTAGCACTATTTTGCAAAACATTTTAATTTTTATTTGCCGTCTGTCGGTATGAGGCCATCTATATTTTTTGTCGCAAGCCTCACTTAGATATAAACTATGTAATCATATAATAACATTAAAAGAACTTTAATTCGATGCCACGTCCAAGTAATAACATATGTCGCAGTGGATGGTCGGGAAGAGAATGATGTATGGAAAAAAATTTTTTATTTTTGTTGCATGTTAAAATCGGTTGCATAGTGGAAACCAATTTTGGGTGAAAATCGCTTTGGCAGTAACCTGTATTTATCTAAGTCTTTCAAGGAGATTCTAAACCTCTAAACCTCTAAATTAGATCTCTAAACTTAAAAAATTTTGAAAGAGTGGCTACCGTAAAGATATTTAGTACGTTGATGCTCTTGGAAAGTAGCCTTAACTAAAATATTCTTTAACATTTGAAACAATGCTTATGTCAACATCGCCGCAGTTTACTTTGATCTTAAGTTATTAATTATCAACATCACTAACTTTAATACATCACCACAATTTCTATCCTGCACTATTGAGTTCATCTTCCTGCAAACTCTTAAGAACTTGAGAGGTTTTCACAAAACTACTTTCGCAATAGCGTCAGTGACGACCCGGGTTTCGTGATCGCGATTTTGGAGAGTCTGTAATAAGTTTCTCTCATGATGTATAAGAATAAGTCCATTCTCAATTTTCACGACAAAATTTCCTCATATTTCTTGTAATAGTTTGATCATTCTCTTCCGCTGGTCGCTGCCATTGAAGGCTCGACATTTTTAAAGCGTTAAAATGGAGTATTTCTCTCTTTTATTTATTTTATTTATTTGATTATTTTACATACAGATGGTAAATAATTTAACTGGTTAATGAATAAAGTTTCAATATATTTAAATAGTGAAGTGTGCTGTTAATAATCGTTACGCGTGCAGCCAATATTTTAACTAATGTAAAAAAGTTAATTTCACAGACTTTAAACTCGATAAATTGAATATTTTTAGTAAAGATAGGAGTTAAATCTTGGAAATATATTACAAGAAACTTAAAATCTTTAAATATGATTGTTTGAACAAGAATAAAAGCAAAGGTCAAAATAAATATAAAGTCGTCAACATGAAAGAGGTAATACGTCATATAAACCAAATGAACGATGCTGTAATCCATCCGTATACATAAATATAAATCGTTTCTCTTTCATAGGTACCTAACCTACCCTCGCCAGATGCAAGTCAAACAATATCAGAATTCGGTGTGTGTTTTTTCCTCTATGCATTGTGTTTGCAATGATCATTTTCCAGTTTCTAATTCTCTTTTTTCTTATTTCAAGATTCAATAAATTTAATGCCAAGTGAACTAACACAATCATCAAGCAATGAAGACACTACGGCAAACAGGTGAGCCTTAGTTCACAGGTGAACCGCGTCAGCAATTCAACGACAACTCGAAAACTATTTCGTCGTGAATATATTTGCCTGTGATTGTTTTGGGTGTGCAATAACCCACAGCTCTCTGTATATAGTGAAACTAACGACCTACAACCCAGTCTACTAGATATCTGACTCCCCAAAAATTCTATAGTTACGAGTGAGGCAAGCCGCCATCTTGAAAGGTGGCAAAACTGACGATATTTACGACTAATATCTTCTTTTCCTGAGTTGATATACAGTGGCAAAGTTAATAGTCTAGGTTTGATTTTCAAAGCGTTTGATCAAAATGGTTTTAAAACTTTCTTTCAAATTTTCTGATGTTGAGTTTTGTATGATTCATATATATACAACGCGTTTTCTGATTGGTCGATGCCCGTGTTTTGATCTGTTCATCCAAACAGTGAAGTTTAAATTGCTGTTAAGAGGATTTTAAACACGTTGGGAATGAAGACGATCTTTTTTACTTTATAGAACAATTATTTATTGGTTTTCAGGTGCGTGCACGGTTGCTCAAAAGTTGAGAAAAACGGTGCAAATCATTCGGCTTCGGCCCGTGTTTAGTGCGTTATTCTTAACTCTCGCCTTATTCCTGGTTTTGCATCAGGCTATCTAAACACTGACACCATTAAGTAATTGTTTATTGTAAAACTTTTAAACGAGGATGTAGAGTGTTCACTCACCGAGTTACTATATATGTAATTATGTCTTGGAAATCTACTTCTTATGATGAATTTTTGTCGTCATTTTAGCTCGGAAATGCATTTTTAATGGCAGACACCTTCTCTTGGAATCTAAGGTAAATTTCTGTGGAATAATAAGTAATATAAAAACTACGAGTTTTTTGACAGCGTGTGCTGTTTGTTTGATCGGTATTTTTTATCATACCTATAGGCTTTTCTCATCAGCCCGGGGTTGTTTCCAATACTGCAGTGAAATGTTACTATCAGAAATCTAGGTGTGTGTGTTTGTGCTAGTAAAAAGGTGTATGCTAGGTGATAGATGATTGATGTTGGTCTGTGAATTGGTCATAGAGAAGTGTATGGTACCATTAATGAGTCCGGATAAATGTATACTATCCTTTTCTCAGTCATAGAGAAATGTATGCTATCCTGTAGTCAGTCATAAAGAAATGTATGCTATCCTGTAGTCAGTCACAGAGAAGTGTATGCTATCCTGTAGTCAGTCATAAAGAAATGTATGCTATCCTGTAGTCAGTCATAGAGAAGTGTATGCTATCCTGTAGTCAGTCATAAAGAAATGTATGCTATCTTGTAGTCAATCATAGAAAAGTGTATGCTATCCTTTTCTCAGTCATAGAGAAGTGTATGCTATCCTGTAGTCAGTCATAAAGAAATGTATGCTATCTTGTAGTCAGTCATAGAGAAATGTATGCTATCCTTTTCTCAGTCATAGAGAAATGTAAGCTATCCTTTTCTCAGTCATAGAGAAGTGTATGTTATCCTGTAGTCAGTCATAGAGAAATGTATGTTGTCCTGTAGTCAGTCATAGAGAAATATATACTATCCTTTTCTCAGTTATAGAGAAATGTATGCTATCCTGTAGTCAGCCATAGAGAAATGCATGCTATCCTTTTCTCAGTCATAGAGAAAAGTATGCTATCCTGTAGTCAGCCATAGAGAAATGCATGCTCTCCTTTTCTCAGACATAGAGAAATGTATGCTGTCCTTTTCTCAGTCATAGAGAAATGTATGTTATCCTGTAGTCAGTCATAGAGAAATGTATACTATCTTTTCTCAGTCATAGAGAAATGTATGCTATTCTGTAGTCAGTCATAGAGAAATGTATGTTATTCTGTAGTCAGTCATAGAGAGATGTATACTATCCTTTTCTTAGTCATAGAGAAATGTATACTATCCTTTTCTCAGTCATAGAGAAATGTATGTTATTCTGTAGTCAGCCTTAGAGAAATGTATACTATCCTTTTCTCAGTCATAGAGAAGTGTATGTTATCCTGTAGTCAGTCATAAAGAAATGTATGTTATCCTGTAGTCAGTCATAGAGAAATGTATCCTATCCTGTAGTCAGCCATAGAGAAATGTATGTTATCCCGTAGTCAGTCATAGAGAAATGTATGCTATCCTCTTTTCGTGCTTTTTCAACCTTTTTATTGCAATTTCTATAAAAATTAAAAGGCCCTTTTTAATGATGATTATAATATAAGTAATATTTGATGTCCATATGGTTACACTACGCAAGTGGTCATGTACATGTCGGTGATATCGTAATGTTCCGTGTTGCTTACCTAAACTATTGTTGTTTTGAATGGAAACTGCCGGTTTTGCATAGTCAGTCTAGAATTTATCTCATGCTTTTTAAATTTCAAAATATTATATTATTCATTTCTTTGGATGTTTTCTCCTAAGTTTTTACACAACGCGAGCAAACTTTTGGACTGGCTACACGCCCAAGAACTTTATGGAAATATGATTATACCAATTTTTTCAACACATCTATTCAATTTACCATCGTCATGCGATTTTTCTGATTTAGATAAATTCAACTGTACGTCGTCTTCATTTGTGAGCAATTCCTCCTCGATGGATCAATATTTTTCAGCTGAGTAAACCCCGTGGGAAGCAATGAATATATGTTAAACCAACTTGTAGTTATATTTTTATGCCGATTTTATAATTATGTATTAATGCTTAGTGATGGACGTAGTTGTATGAATTTACTGTAAATTATAGCAAGGTTGTTGTGCATAATTAACACTTCTAATGCTAATCAAGGTCTTTAACTTTTTTAAGACATTTGTGCAATTCTTTTATAACGCTTTTCATGTCACGATGTATAAATGTTTCGAGTTAACATCAAAGCGTTTATGACACGAAATTTTATCAAGAATTTATTTGATCTCATTGCAAAGAACTCACAAATTGACTTAACAACCTCTTCAGTAAAATTGACTTATTGTACTTTTTTCCGCAGAGATATTCGTCATGCAAATAACATCGTTATGACATCACAGAGCATATATGACACTTCAAAGATAATCAATTTTCCAGCCTTCGTGAGTTTCTGTCGAATGCTTGGGGCTCTAAATCCCATAGAGCCCACGTGATCATGCTCTAAATCTTACTTGGTATTCTCTATATAGAATATGTAGAGAATACTAATTTAGTTTTTGTATTATTTTTCATTTCGCCATTAGTATTCTCAAAATTGAAAATACTAATTGACACCCTCGCTGTTTCGTCCATGTTCAAAGCACGAATACTAAGCCCTTAATAACCGAGTGAGGTCTTTACGGAGAAATATCAGACCGAGGTCTTTACAGACCGAGCCTGTAGGGCTAGGTTTATACAAAAAGACACAGGTCCAATATTTATCAGTAAAGATCGAGAAAGCGAGGTTTGACCTGAAACGAAGCTTTCTTTTTTTCTCATCCTTGCTGTCTTTTACAGGTTGGCTTTCACTTTTCTAGTTTTCGTCCATAAAAAATAAATCGTTTCAAATTGTATCCTCTGGATGGTTTAACTGTTTTCCAAGTGTTTTTCCTTCGAATCACATTCGTAAATGGTTTTTGTTTCGTTTACTTTGCGTTTTGCAGTTTGCATTACGAAGTTTGTTTACATTTGACTGTAAAATTACGCGTTTTGGACCGTGGTCGATTGCGGGAAAACAATGGACCGACAAAAATGTTTCTGAGCCAATCAAAGCGCGCCATTTTGCCGGAAGTGACGCTTGCCATATAATAAAACAATTTAATTGTACAATTATCGATTGATATTTGTAAAGATGCCGCGGTTTGATATTTTAATGCTAACCTTCGACAAAAACTACTATTTCCAGATGCTGTTTTGCAGGGGAATGAAAAGAAGTAAAATAACACAATTCTATAGAAGAAGTTAACTTAGTCATTTTTAATTGCCTTTACAATGCAATAAGTAAACGTTATTGTAAAGTTAGATGTCATTAACACTTTGAGCAAGGGGTTAGTGCAGTGCTGTAGAACTAAATTTTTCAGATGGGGGGGGGGCTCTCTTGACGAAGCTGAAGCCATGAAATTAAAAATTGCCCATTTCATAGGTAGAAGGGGGGCTCCTCCCCCAAGCGCCCCCACTTCTACAGCACTGGGTCAGTGATAAAGGTGAGCGGCGCGTAGTTATGATGATGGACGTGGTTTGGCATATGTTGATACAATAATTTGAAGAACCAAGACAGTTCGTCAGAGAAAATAATAAACAGCTCCAACCATAGAATTTCACATTACCACCTTCGGCTATCGACACTTTGATGTGATCTACATCTATCAACATGGCAGCTTCGAACTTTTATGAGAACAATCTTTTTGTTATTTGTACAGGGTTAATTTTAGTTATTTGTCAGAGCAATTCTCAGTGCTAGATCATCCCAATAATAGAACTTAATTCATAATCCTCTCCATTGACATTACGTTATCTTCAATGCAAAAAGAGCAGATTATTTAAATATTACAATATTTATTTACAATATTGATATTCCATGATAAATCCAAGATGGCGCGGGAACCGGGGCAATTGATGTTTTTCGCAATTTACTTCTTTGATTATTTTGGTGAACAATAAATCGACCAATTTACACAACACTTTCTAGCGATATTTTTCGCCCGTATTTCAATAAAATTGTCCAATGTGACTTCAAAACATTATTAATAACGCTTTGTTTCCAATAAAACTCGATTGGAGTAGCCTCAAGTTTTTTGCCCTGTTCCAGCGCCATCTTGGATTTATCATGAATGTCACTATCTATGAATGTCACGCTGCCGTCTTAATAAGTCTTATAGTACGTCACACTCGTCAGCAATCTAGTTTTATTATATCTATGGTCGTCAGCAATAGTGAAGTGTCGAAATTGTCAGCGGTTTCTTGCATGAAAGTTTTGCAGCGGCCATGTTTAATGGTAGCATTCCTTCATACCATGGTTAACACTCTGACTGATTACAAGACGCAGGAATACCAACGACGCGAAATATTTTTTACGTTCACAATCTTTTATAAATGGGATCAAACATTTTCATTCATCCTTTAAGTATTTTGAATAGTCGACCCCGTCGTACGTCATCCCGCGTCCCCTCGCGTTTTTACACATCTTAATGGCGGACCAGGTTTTGGGATCTTTTTCGAAATGTTCCCGAATGAATTGAGACAGGACAAAGCTGTGGAAACTTCCTGCGCCGATGGCAATAAGAAAGTCGCTTTTGCGCATCAACATGACATTTGTGATGATATGCTGGTGCGAGAGATTCCATCAACTTTACCTGTTGCTTTGGGTGAATACAGAACTGCACCACTTATATTAGCTAGGTATTCCTCGTGGCCTGGGTCATATGACATGGAGCCACCATACTTCCCCATATCTGTGGTCAAGTATATCGACTTTACTCCTCTTTTCTTTTTTAACACGTCAACGATTCTCATCGCCAGTTGAAAACAGCGGTTTGTTGTGGTTGGAGGTGTATTTATATGGTTGGCACGAATATGTATGGCTACATACGGTCTTTGAAGAAACATTTTGGTAAATTTGTCCACCTCTTTTAAGATTATATCACTTGGGTTCAGAGCATAAAGAAAGATCTCGTTAGGACTTAAACCACTTGGATTTCTTTTCCTTTGAAGGCGATGGTCTGGGAAATATACTATTTCGATACACTTGGAATCTTTAAACAGCGTGTTTCGTATTTTCGATACGTTAAAACCGTCTGCAACACATATCATTGTGCGCTCATCGAGGTTCACTGAAAAGCGTCGAAGAATATGCTTCATTTTGTCGCAGTCAACCCAACTTTGGCCATTACCCTTCCATTTTGAAGAATCTTATCAAAGTACCACGAATAGCCGAAAACTGTGCGTCCCGCTAGATGTTTGATAAAATTTATGACGTATATATTTTTTTCATTCTTACACGAGTCGTCGTACTCTTTGTCCAACACCACAGGTGGGTATTGATTACGAGCAAATATGTTGTTAAGATGGTTGATATTGTATATTGATTCGAACGTATCGGGACCATTACTGACAGCCTTTCCATCGCTAAAGTGCGGGGCGACGATTTTGAAGTTCTCAAGTCCTGGAAAGTTCACCATTCCCAGAAAGATTCGCATTTGTTTGGATAATTCTTCGCCATACATATGGACTTTAAGATAGCCTGACCATTCCTGTGCGTTTCTATGTTTGCTTGCATTGATCGCTGTCAGTGCCTTCACTCTCTTGGCTACATCGAATGATTCATTTTTAACGTTATAATCAAAGGCGAAACTTTCACCAAACAGTTTGTATTTTCCGTTTTCATTGATATTGACAGTAACTGTTCGGCCACCTTTGTACGTGGCAATTGTATCGAATGCTTCGACAATTTCTTTTTCATTCAGGTTTGTTCTGGGCAATGGCGATGGCGAAAACCGATCAACTCTTTTAACATCCCAACGTACGTTATAGCAAAGCAGAATAAGCAAAAAAACAACAGCAAAGAATATAAATGTATATGTTACCTGAATCTTCGTTGTCATTATGCGATTAACCGAAGCAATTAGTTTTGTTTACTTAAAGAGCAGTAGGATATAAATTAACATTCTGCTTGAGATTCAAAGAGAAACTTACTGAGGCACAGAGTTTCGCGTGAGTAGTGTGTGGGTTGTTTAATCATTTCCTTCGTATACATTGGTTAGAGTTGAGTTTGCTCTCCGCATTCACAGTTCACCGTCTTGAAAATATTTTAAGTGTTTGCTAAACTTATTCTTGCTTTTCGGCTAAGGATTTACTGTGAGTTAGTAAGAAAATTATTTTGTATAACTTTTTGCCGTCTTTGGAAAATTTGAATTCACACCATTGACTAGGTAATGTAGCTACTGCCGGGCAAGTGGATTCATGAGTCATGTCTTTCATGTCGGATTTTCATTTTTGGATTTCTTACAAAAAAAGTATATGTTTTGCTAATGCCATTGTGCATGGATCAAGCCAGTGTGAATCAGCAAAGGACAATCAATAGTACTTGCAAATATTTCTTTATTATCTTACAATATAACAAAAATGTCTAAAATGTAAATTTTAGATTTAAAATAATCAAGGTCGACAAGACATTCAGCCAAGCACCACGCTATTGTTCAAAAATTCGATATGATAAAAAATTATCGGTTGTATGTCTTCATTTGAAACAAAATTCCCTGCATGGCACTTCAATCTTTTAGGTATTTTGAATAATCTACGTCCTTCTTTAGCTTCTCCCGATTCCTTGCATTTTCACACATCCTAATGGCGGACCAAATCTTGGGATCTTTTTCGAAATGTTCCCGAATGAATTGAGACAGGACAAAGCTGTGGAAACCTCCTGCGCCGATGGCAATAAGAAAGTCGCTTTTGCGCATTAACATGACATTAGTGATTGATATGCTGCTTGGAGAGATTGCGTCAACTTTACCTGTTGCTTTGGGTGAATACAGAACTGCACCACTTATCTGAGCCAAGTATTCCTCGTGACCTGGGTCAGCTGCGCCACCACTGCCGTACTTGGTCATGTCTGTAGACAAGTATGTCGACTTTACATCTCTCTTCTTTTTCAATGCGTCGACGATTTTCATCGCCAGTTGAAAACAGCGATTTACGGTGGATGGAAGTGCTCTTATATGGCCGGTTCGCATATGTATGGCAACATACGGTCTTTGAAGAAACATTTTGGTAAATTTGTCCACCTCTTTTAAGATTATATCACTTGGGTTGAGAGCATAAAGAAAGAGCTCGTCAGGACTTAGACCGCCAGATTTCCTCAGTTTGGAAAGGCCATGGTCACCGTAATAGCCGATTTCGATACACTTCGCATTTTTAAGTAATGTGTTTCTTATTGTCGATACATTAAACTTACCTGTAATGCATATCATCTTACGCTGCTCGAGGTTCACAGAAAAGCGTTCAAGAATTTTCTTGTTCTCACTGCAGTCAATCCAACCTTTGCTATTCTTACTATATAGACGATCAGCGATTGACTTCGTGTAGCCGAATAATCTTGGCCCGGCATTCTGATCGATGACGATCAGAACATAAATTTCTTTTTCATTTTCACACGACTTGTCGTATTCATCGTCTAATACCACAGGCGGTAAATTATTTCGAACAAATGCTTTGTTTAGATCGTGAATGTTGTAGATTGACTCGAACGTGTCCGGACCATTGCTTACTGCTGACCTGCCCTTGAAATGCGGAGCGACGAGTTTAAAGTTCTCAAGTCCTGGAAAATTCACCATTCCGAAAAAGATTCGCATTTGCTTGGATAATTCTTCTCCGTAGATGTGGACTTTGAGATAGCGAGTCCATTTTTGTGCGTGTTTATTTTCACTACCCTTCATCACCGCCTTCACTCTCTTGGCTACATCAAACGATTCATTTTTTACGTAATAATCAAACGCGAAACTTTCGCCGAACAGTTTGTATTTTCCGTTATAGTTGATGTTGACAGTTACTGCTTTGCCGCCTTCGTATGTGGCAATTGTATCGAATACTTCGACAATTTGTTGGTCATCCAGGTTCGCTCTGGGCAATGGCGAAGGGTGAGCGTTGTTGCTTTTAACATCCGAGGAATTTGAGTGTATGTTATACCAAAAAAGAAGCAGACAAACAAACATAACAAATACAATCGTATGTTGTAAATGAATCTTCATTTTTACTTCTAACAACTAAATATATTTATTTTGACTACATAATTAGCTGTATCTACTCAGGCGTAGAATCGGTCTCTAGCCCTTGTATTCGCTCTGACGAGATAATCGCAGAGGCAATTCGTTTTTTGCCTATAAGTATTTGTATTGGTTAGAAAAATGAGTTCTTGTAGAAAAGTGCATCAAATAGCCACATTCAATTACAGACTTAAAAGTGGATTGTTCTGGAAACTTCCTTTACCAAGCGCTATGTAGCTTTCCTAGTACAACTGCGACCTCATGACTAATTATCTTTAAACACTTGAAAACTCGGTTACTTCAATCGAGAAAACTGGAACTTAAGAGAAAAACTTAATATAAAACTTCGGAATGCAGGAAGCGCTTTTTCCCAATGGATACATATTTAATTTATTACAGAGGTAGTATAGACCTTATTTTCTTAAGTGTTATTGGCAGAAATTAATACTGTTGTGGTCAACAGGAGAATCATGTATCACCTGGAAAAACCGTACGAGGGGGCCAGTGGCGTGGTGGCAGGGGGGGCCAGGGGGGCCAGGGCCCCCCTAGCTGTTGATTTTGGGGGCGCTGAATTGAATACGAGTCATCAAGTTTTAAATATGGGCTATAAAAAGTTAAAAACGCATTTGAGACAGAACAGTTATTTTCACAGTTATATATTCAGTGAATGAAGTTAACTTTAGGGAATTAGGGAAGAAAGGAAGTAGACAGACCAAAATGAAACCTTGTCATGGGGTCGATTAAAGAATAAGATATTGACGAGCATTCTAGAATTAGATGTTTCGTTTGCGGACACAACGCCTGCATGATTTGTCACTATGACTGTAGACAACATACATGCAGGGGAGAAACTAGAACGCTAATTAGGGGGGTGAATATTCATGTATTCAGGTTTGCCCTGCTGATATCTATTGAATTTAACATCGCCAACAAAAGAAATCAACAGCAAGGCAGAGCTGAATACATGAATATTTACACCCCATTTAGCATTCTAGTTTCGCCTATGCATATACGGCCAAATTGTCCTCTTAAGGGTCGCAACAAGGCCTAAAATGTGTAATTTTTTGCCTATCTTAATCAATGTTTTTTGCTTCCCTCACAGACAGTAATCGTTACTGGCATTGTATCTTATTAATCCCAGCGTAATAATATATTTTTTAAAAATGACAGTAGTGCAGTCATCGGTAAATTGCTATCGTAATGTGTAGTCTAACATGAAGTAGCCTTTAATGATACCGCAGCATGTACGGCATTGTTCGTATTGTGTTATTTACATTTTCGTCGTTACAACCACACATTTGTCATTTTCAGTAGTAAAGCAAGTTATTATACGGTAAAACTTTTTTAAATCACTTAAAGCTTCTTCGTAAATGTTCAAGATTCATTTATCCGCAGTTATCGAATGTGCATAACAGCATATATTTAATTGAAATTAAGATATTTTTTAAACAACAACATTTGAAGACCAATTAAATTAATGTCTCAAAGTGCTCAAACTCTCATTTTGAGCTTCCATTGCTGGCAATAAAGATTTAATTTACAAAACAAACATTTCATTTGATAATTTCATTTGTGTTGGGAAATCTATTTTAATATTATTTAATGTACATCATGGATCATTGTGCAATGTTAAAGACTAACTGCAATGTCTAATTCTTTCAACACCACGAAGAGAAAAAAGTCGGGTGCTGAGTATCGGAGATTAAAGAAAGCCAGACAAGAAGAATTTTCAAAACTTGGGGGAGTTTTGCTTGATTACTTTAAACCTATACAAAATTACCCACCATGCGTTTTGTTACAAACAACAGAGGAGTTATAAATGAAGATATGATCTTCGCACTTTGCTGGACAATTTAAGCAATTGTCTCATAAACCTGAAAAATTCAGGTGACTCAACGGGATGTTAAAAGACGTAAAAAGGAAGTTGTTTTAAACAAAACAGTTTTGAAACGTGTGATAGATGTTATTATGTTTCTTGCAAGACAAGGCCTTTAGGGGTCACTGTGAATCACTGACAAATAGTAGTATAGTACATGGGGGTTCTAGCGCACGAAAAGTGCGCTATAATCCCCCATGTACTATACTACGTATAACCTTGGGTAAAAACTATTTTTATAACAGCTTAAAATAAGACCATAGTTCAAAGACGTCCCTCTGGTAAAAAGGTCATGTAAAAAAGCTGTGTAAAAAATTGTTTGTTTCAATATAGTAGTAAAAACTTTCTTTATAACAGCATAAAATAAGACCATGGTTCAAAAGGCGTCCCTCAGTAAAAGGTCATGTAAGAAAGCTGTATGAAAAAAGTCATTGTTTCAAAGGGGTAAAAATTTGGAATCTATATGTTTTTAAAAACGGTCTTTACAAACAAATGTTAACAAGCATAGTTTCGGAGAGGGCTCGGCAGCGCAAATTTTAGCGTAGCTAAAATTGAGCAGGAATGGAGCCCTCGAGAATTCTAAGCGATGTGGGAAAATTTTCACGAAGTGAAAATTCGGAGCGCCCCCTTACATTCGAAGAATATTCGAAGAATATTCGAGAATAACAGAGGCTTAAGAAATGCTCTTAAAAAAACCGTCTTTAATAATCAAGTGTTAATAATCAAGTGTTATTAAAATATCAGTAGCAAATTCTTGAACCCCAAGGCGCGCGTGTCTTAGTGCATGTTCTTAACAATGGTTGTTTAATATAGATAGCACATTTCATCAGCGCATGTATAATAATCAAGTGTTAATAATCAAGTGTTATTAAAATATCAGTAGCAAATTCTTGAACCCCAAGGCGCGTGTCTTAGTGCATGTTCTTAACAATGGTTGTTTAATATAGATAGCACATTTCATCAGCGCATGTATAATAATCAAGTGTTAATAATCAAGTGTTATTAAAATATCAGTAGCAAATTCTTGAACCCCAAGGCGCGCGTGTCTTAGTGCATGTTTCTAACAATGGTTGTTTAATGTAATAGCACATTTCATCAACGCATGTATAATAATACAATGTTGTACAAAACTATGGAATCTATATGTTTTTTTTAATTTGTCTGTCAAGCGAGTGTCATATAATTTTTGTTAAAATTGTTTTTAATAATTGTTTCAGGATTTTGAATCTTTTGTATATCGCTTTTGTATTAATTACTTATTACAAACAGTTATGTGATATGTAGTCAAACATGAGGAGCAGGTATGTATGATTTTACTCTAACAGAGGCCCACGCTACATGCTTACTACACATTATAACTGTATATTAAAATAAGTTTTAATTATCATTTAAATAATGACCATAAGCTCTAGTAGTTATACCATCATCTAATATATACCGTTTATCATCAAAACAGCTAAGTGATACTTTATTAATTTCATAACTACTAAGTTGATGGTTTACACTTCTAATAGTTTTCATTGTATGATGTATTTGTTTATTTTCAAATAGTGTTTGTTTATAGTCTTCATGTTTTATTTTGTTTTAATAATATTTTTCTTAATTCCTTTAGCTTTTTATCTCCTTTATTATTGTCTTTAATATAACTATACATCTTACTTCTTAAACCAACAAATTCTTTAACTACTATTCCAGCAGCTTCATCTTTCATTTTACCAATAACTTTTTTATTAGTTTTATCATGATATTTATGGTATTCTGGGTAATCACTAAAATCAAATTTATCTTTATCAACCCAAAAATCTTTATAGACATCTTCAGTTTCAATTTCATATGTTAAACTATCTGTGTCTGTGAAAAGAAGTTTAGCTTTATCACCATACCGCTTTTGATATAGTTGTAATGAAAATCATACATAAGAACTTTACTAAATCTAAGATACACATACCAACATATGCTGGCCTATTAAGGGTTAGTGTTTCTTTGATCTTATGCACAGCCACAAGGTTCTTATTGAAAATTTTACTACTTACATAAGTAGGTTTTGAAGTCAACTTTAATAATTTATTTTTATTAGTTACTAGTCTAACATCTACTCTTTTTCTTAAGTTTTCCATCGTCTTACCAAAAACACTGTTATTCATGAGTTTGAAGAAGTCTTTTCAAAAGAATTTTTGCATTAGTTCTTTTTGAGTATTAAAGTCTATGTATTTTTTCAACCATGGAGATTGATTAAATTCAAGTACTCTATGTACTTTTGAAGATTAATATTTTTTCATATTTCTATAATTAAAATATCTATGTTTTAATGTACTTTAATTTTGTTTTATCTTTATTCATTTTGCATGTTTACAATATATATTGTCTTTAAGTATTTTCGATTTAAATAATCTTATTCATATGTATACTAGTATAAATTATTTTTAAGGTGCTTTTATTATCTTTGTTTTAGCAATGTTTTTTCAATCTGTTTTCAAACATCTTCTAAAATTAGTAACTAGTTTTTTTACAAGCATAAAATACAAATTTTAATCTTTTAATATATCTTTAAGATTTATTAATATAAATTTTTATTTCTTTAGCCTTATCCAATTGTTATAATATACAGTTAACACCTTTATCCCATTCAATGAATTTATAACTTCACCAAATAATCTATCATCAAAATCCTCTTTGTCTTACTATTTTCATTTTAACATAGTTAATGGTAGTACCTCCTACTAGCTAAGGTATATATAATAGTTATACATAGAAACATTTCTTTTCTGTATCAACTTTGTTTAATCATAGTACTAACAACCTTTTTAAAATCATTTTAATCATTTCAACATATTCAAAAGTTATTTTAATCTAATTTTATTATAAAACCATTTTCTCCTTGAATGAACTGATTTTGACATTTCCAAATCTCTGGTATCCATTCATTAACAATCTTAGTATTGAATGAACAGAATCACAATTTAAACCATTTTATTGTTATTGAAATAATTTCTTGTTTTCAAATTATAATATGCTTAGAGATCTTTAATATAACTATCACAATCTTTTTATCACAAAAGCAACAATTTACTAACCAAAAATCTTCTAACTCTTTATGAATAACTTTTAC